TTTTCAGCAATTTCAAAAAGTTTTAGGGTATAATTAGGATTTTTAAAATTGTTTAAAAATTACCCCCATTGAAAACATTTTAAAGGATTGGGGGAGGTTCTATATATTAAAAACTTGTGGGCAACTAAATAGAGAACACTTTTTGACAGGTCCCTCACTTTTCGTTTTGAGCATTCATTTGCGTTTGTCTATTTCTTCATGGGGGCAATAAGGTAGAGGTAGGGAACATTTCTTTGAACTTCTTCGGTAGTTGCCTATTTTGCTCTCTGTAGTTGGCTTCCTTTTCATCAATATTCGCTCACTCGTCATCCCCTCTCTTGGTTTTCAATATTGTTTGGTGTATATCTAACCAATTAAGTGGATGGAGCTACTATATGAGAGGTAAGCTATAAAAAAATACTTTGATTTTGATCCCTTTTGTAATTTTTTGATTTTTTGGTGCAGTGATTAAGGTTTTTATTATTGCTACCCATTTAATTGTTTTCCTAATAGTAGACAATAGAATCTTGATTAGCTAAATTTTAACATGATGATAATGATTTGTTCGGTTGGTTATTGATCTCTTTGAAATATTATTGGCAATTGCAGCCTCTCTTTAAATAGTGGAGGGGAAGGAGGTTATAAAGGAGTTTATTTCTACGAAATGGGATTTGTTAGGAGGGGTTAAAGCCATCAACGACTAAATTATAGATGGGGTCACATGTTTACACAACCATAATTCGAATTGGTCGGTTCTTTGTTCTATGCTATTTTTATATGTTGAACTTGAAATTGGGGCTTGAAATTTGTTATATTTAATTGAATTACTTTGGTTGGAATTTGCCAGTTAATGATTCCGTTGCGGATTGATTGACTTAAAAGTTTTGATTATGATAGATTAAATTGTTTCTATATCTATGTTTAGTGTAATAGGCTTGTGATAGATTTAATATTTTTGAATTGTTTCTTTTAAATTTTTTTGATTTATTTTGGTTATTTATTGTCTCCATGTGTAAACATTCAATTTATTATTGAGAACTAATTTTTTGTTGTAGAAAAGTTTTTTGGTAGTCTTATGGACAATTTTATAATGATTTTTTTTTTTGTTGGCACTTTTTATATATGCATGTTTGGATAAAGTAATTTTGACATAGACAAGTCTAACAAATAACTAATATGCTTTTTCTAACAAGCTATGCATAAGGCATAACAAACAACTTTCACCGATCAATGAACAAAACTGTCAACTTATATGCTTTTGTAATAAGCTATTCTGCATAGGTAATGCTACGTTCAAGCAAACAATATATGCAAACTGGTGAAAGATATTGAACTAGAATAATTAGTTAATAAACTTCCATATTGAAATAGAATTTAGAAAACCACCAGTGAATGTAATAACCAAATGAGAACAGATAGACTGAGAGAACCGTACGCACATTGTGGCGAGTGCCAGCATATCTCTTCCCGGGGTTTCCAAGGCCGACAATGAGCCACGGCTTAGGCTTCTCCACAGCGGCCGCCACCGGCGAGGCTGAACCGGTTACTGTGGTGGTGGATATTAACGCTAAAGCAGAAGGTGAAACAATTTTACGAATGGACTTGGTCCTATTCCTACTCGTATGCCTCCAACGGCATGATGAAATTAGGGTTTTTGAGAAAGGGAAGCCGAAGAGGCGGCAATAGGGGAATCGAACAGCAGAAATTGTACCCATCCTTACATTCATTATGAAGATAGACAGGTTCAGCACAAAGTTGTTCCAATCTCTTCACACTCTTTTCTCCATCAGGGACATTTTAAAAACGCAAAAATAAAGAAAAAAAACTCCTGACAAATTGTAAAAATCAAGTTCAAAACGCCGTTGCCGGGGATCGAACCCGGGTCACCCGCGTGACAGGCGGGAATACTTACCACTATACTACAACGACATCGTTGTTCTGTGATTTTTTGATGATATATTTATAAACATTTAACATTAATGTACGGAGCACCACGACGTACTCGATGGAGGAATGTCTGAGATAAACTTGCATGATGAAGAAGTCAAACGAGAGACTAATTAGCATTTGAAGACCATGTAAGATATGAATTATTCAAGATGGATTCCAGGAAAGCTTGTAAGATAAACAAATTAACTTTGAACTTCATTTAAAATTTATTTTATTGTCAAACGAGATTTGAATAATTTGTGAATTATCAGCTGTCACAAGAAGTTATTGAATTAATACTAGACCTTGTGTAAAAACTATTTTTCCACACAAAGAGAATAATTTTGAGGGCGGTGGTTCCAACTCACGTGGAATCAGGGGTGGAGTAAAAATTATAGGTTAGTGGAGACACAATACGACAATATATGTGTGATTCTCCTTATCACATATATTGTAAATATTCTAGCTTCGGCGTTTCAAAAGGTAACATTTGGAAAATCTAATTCTATGAGGTTTTCTATCATTTTTTCATTATTCTTGGGGATTAGATTCTTTGCCAAAAGGTTGTTTTATTGTCCTTTTGTGTGAGCGCACGCTAGGGGGAGAGAGAATGACATTAAACAGAAGTCATAAAGAAAAAAAGAACAACAATTGCGTTTAAGTGTATTTAGGTTATAATTTTTTGGAACTCACTTATTTAAGGGATGATATGTATTTAAATTATAATTTTTTAAGTTCCATTTGATTTATGTAACATTTTTTTTTTCTTCTAAAATTTGCATTTTCTGAACAATCTTTGCAACACTAGATGCCCTCTTTTTCAATAGTAATCTAATTTGATTAGAACGAATTTGTTTACTACTTGTTTCTAATGGTAATATAATTTTTTATGTTTTGTAGGATTTTAACGAAATCGAATAAAGAGGCCATCTCAATTGAATTGAAGAATGGCATTCTTGTTCACGACACCTTCACTTGTACTCTCTCTTTCTCTCTCTCATTCTCTTTCATCTCCATAGCATTATGATCATAGAAAATGTTAAGATTTACAATAGACTTCACAAAATTAGTCAATTACAAATATGATTTAACAATAGCGTATAATTTTAATTCTGACTAATATTTAGCTAAGGTGCAACCCTAAGGTAAACCTATGTCCTAATACAATATCCTCTAAATGAGATTATCAGAGTTGATAATTGTTAGAAGCAGTAGCTTCATTTTTCATTTTACTGGTTGTTGTTACATAAGTGGTTGTGCCGTTAACTTTGATTCTATGTCCTAACGATTGCTTTCTACTTTCATTCACTCATCTCAAATCTTGGGTTCCTATTTCACAAATGTTGAGGTTTTCAAGGGTTTGACATGGTTGTGGATTTCAATGTTGACAGTGACAAATGATGTTATCATCTTCTTACTATTGCTGCCATGCCATTACTATTTATCACTTAATACTATTTTTCAGTTGCTCCAGCAACTAGGAGAGCATATTGATATGCATTTTGGTCAAATATCAGTAATTAAAATTATGCAACTATATTGTATAGCTAGCTGGGGGAAAAAGACATTATGCAACTAATAATGATTAGATCCAATAACTATGACAATATCTTGTAATATTTAGCATTTTTCATTTCCAAGTGAAGAAAACACATACTGATGATGCACAAAATTAATTATGTACAATTAAATTAGTCGAGTGCGTAGTGCAAAACAATTAATAATAAGAGATAAAAGATTGGTTGGTTGGGTCTGGGTGACCAAACCATTGAAGGCGACAATGATGATGGGAGAACTTTATTAATGAGATAGTACAAGGTAACAGGAGAGAGAGAGAGAGAGAGAGAGAGCAATAATACGCTCAAAGTGTAATCTATGAGATCTGCCTCCATGTGTATGGGGTTTACAATTTATAAGCATAAAACCCTAACTATGGTGGTGATGTAAATGTCAAGCTACTAATTTATCGGGGAGGATAAGTACAATTGAGGATAGACACTATCTTGAAATAATGACAATGTCGATAATTACTCTCCCACGTGCGTTGACATTCCCTAAACTCTTTATGGATGGAGGAGGATATGCCCTCATTTTTTTTTCTTCCCTCCATAAAGATGTGATATCTTCTAATTAATGAAATATAGATTGTGTGTTTGTCAAAAAAATAAAAACCTTCAAAGAATAAATAATTTATTCTCACATACAAATCTCTTGTTAAGATCTAATTGATATTTGTGAGATTAAAATGATGTTATTATCATTACCAAACCATTCAAATACTTTGAACTTGAGGTTGCAAAACTTTCATTGATACATTTGATTTAATAATTTTGAGATGATTAAGATGGGATTTATTTCCTTTGGGGTGAGAATTTTGAACAGATTAATGGAGATTTTTTTTTTTAAAAAAAGGGGAAAAATATCGTCCAGATGAGGATAATAAAGTGAGATTTCAAATTTTTTTATTACTTTTTTTGATGGATCACTAAATTAAGTATGACTTATTATGTAAACGGGCCACTCACTCATAGAGGTGTTCATGGAATCATGGGTCAGGTTATCTAGGAGTACTATTACTCTGTCCGAAAAAATAGGTTCAAAATTCGATAGGTCTGATAGTTGGTCGGTTAGAATTCGAGCCCAATTTTCTTAAAAAAAAGGTTTGAGTTTGCCCCAAATCCATTATTTGGCCCGGAACCCTGCCTAATAGCCCATCTAAAAAAACTCATTAAAATCCGACCCAAGAATCCGCTTGCCCATACTGTCCACGCAATCTTCATTTGAAAAAAAAGTTATATTTTTATATCATTAAATTTGAAACTTTGAAATAAGTTTTCCAACATCAAAATTTAAAATTTTAAAAATGTAGATATTATAAATAATATATTATTTTCTTTTCCATGTATTAAATATATAAATTTTAAAATCCAGCCCATAAGTAACCCACCCTTACCCACTTTAATAAAAATTTGAACTTATATTACATAAGTCCAGCTCGAAAAAAATTTCGTAAATCTAACCCTGGTCGGCCAATGAACACCCCTATACACTCAATTATTAATAAAGTAAGAAATATTTAAGGAAATTTAAATCTCGGTCCAATATTGAATATTCACATACAAACTTTTCATTTTGCATCCATTTCACCCGGAAAATTAAAACAAATTTCTATTTTCTCACACAAAACAAACTACCTACTCTATTCCAGTATTTCTTCACAATTTTTCTCTATTTTCCTTTTTTTTTGCCCGTTCTCCAAACTCACAACCTACTTTACCAATCATGGTTTCCGGTACATGGCCACCGGCAAAAACGCCGGCCACGCCAAACCACTCCGACACCTTTTGTATCTGTGTTTATGCCCTTCTCTATAGAGCAGGCAACGATTCGGTCTTCCATGAAAACTCAGACGGATCCGAGTAATCAAACAAGCTATCCAAAGCCACGAAGTCCTCCATTCCATTGTTGGATTCAGTTCCTTCATCGATTTCCAACTCTAACGAGTCGTAACTCGGAATCTCATCGTCGTACCCCAACATATCTGCCAATGGAACAGCCTCGGGCACAATCATTGCAGAATTCATCGTTTCTTTGTTCGGCGGTTGTTTGCCGGAGGGAGAGATAGCCGGCGGCAGACCCAGCTCGTCGTCGGAGGCTTCCAGAAGGTACCCGAGCTCCGGCTGAGGCTTGCCGGATTCTGTTTCCGGTGCAGGTGGGGTTTGGTGGTGGATCTCTTCTTCGAAGCTCTTGATGACTGAGTCGAGATCTTGAATCGCCGAGTCATTGTCCGGGTCGTCGTCAAGGATGTATAAGATGTCATTTCTGAAATTGTTTGCCTTGGGCAAGTTAAGGACCGAGTCTAGCTCTGACTCGGCCGATTTAATATCCAGTTTGTCCGAGTTAAGCACCTTTGACTCGGACGAGTTGACATCCAACTCATCTCGAACCCGTTTTGACTCGGGCGAGTCCGGGTGCAAGTCCAAATACTCTCGGACTCGTTTCTTGCTTTTATTTCCGTTGCACTCTTCTTCCATTAATGAAAAGAGAAATAAGAGATATCCGTGTGTTTGGTTGATAGATGTTACAAATCCAGGACTGAGATAGGAATATAGTGGTAGACCATAAAGGACCTATATAGCGGGGTTTGAGGCTCCTAGTGGAAGGAAATTGGATAGAAAAAATAAAATGGTAGGTGTTGGGTTGTTGGGTGATAAGGAAAAGTTATTAGGGATAGGAAATGGAGGACTTTTGTGTGTGTGTGTGTGAGAGAGAGAGAGAGAGAGAGAGAGAGAGAGAGAGATAAGAGTTGATGTGTGGAGGTGAAGGATTGCTTAGGGAGACAAGAGCAAGGGATTTATGTAGTGGGGAGAGATAGAAAGAAAGAGGGTAAGGTGTTGGAAGGAAAGAAAATGGACGAGGATATATATAGTCAAGGTCGGGATAAGTTTTCTACAGAGAGAAATTGTGGAGAGAGAAAAAAAGTGTGGTATTGGATTGGTGGAGAAGGAAAGCTGGTGAGGGATATATACACTGGGGCCCTGGGGGTGGGTCGGTTCTTGAATAATTGGGAGGGAAAATTAGAGATGTGGACTGGCGCGTGTTTGGAAGAATTCTTGCCTATCACGTTTCACGGAGATCTCGACTTTTTCCTTTTTCTTTCTTTTGTTAAATCTCTTTCCCCCGCGTTTTCCTGTCTCTTCTATTTTCGTGTCTATTAACTTTATTTAAATTCTTACTTTGAAATCCGTTTCCTCCGGGCCCACCTGCTTAGGGGAATGTGGAAGCACGTGGCTTCTTCCTGAAGGTCTTTTTCTTAGCTAGGCTTCGATCTTTTCGGTTGGCTTTAAATTTTTCTCCTTTGGGACATACCGGATACAATATAATACAGATATGACAAAGTTTAAAAAAATAAGATATGGATATGACCAAGATACGATTGTAATAAAATATATTTAATATTTTTATTATTTTCAATCAACTTAATACTTATATATTTTAGTGGTTCTTTAACATATAATAAGTAAAATTAATAATTTTTTTTAATTTAAAAAAAATATATATCGTGTCGTTGTGGTATATTCATAAAGTGAAGTGATTAATTAAAAGAATCAAAACTAATATTTACATAGTATTTAGAGTAATTTTTGCTAAAATTATAATGTAATAGCTTTATTTTATATTCTTATGACATATAATTGTAGATAATAATTAAAAAGTACTCAAGTGCTTTTGAAGTAATATGAATTTTTTATTAATGTATTGTATGATATGTGAATTTGAAAAGAGATGTTAAAAATTCAACTAAAAATTACATATATTGTTTGATTACAAAAGTATCTATGAAATATTATAATTTTTAATTATTATCGGATACGTAGAAAGTAAATCCGATACGTATTCTCGAGTATCCGATGAGTATCATATCTAATACGGTATTCGATACAGGTATGTCAATTTCAACGAAGTATTCGTGTTTCATAGATCTTAAGACAACACAAATTCTACAAAACACAAATTTAAAAATATTATAATCAATTCATACGAATAATATATTAATTAATGTTAAACATAAAAAATCATTCAATTGCTATTGAATGTATAAAATGTATATTTTGATACTTTTTTTTGGTTACTTTTTATCACATGAGTTGTTTAAAAATTAAATAATTTATGTTAATAAAAATATTAATAAGAACATGTACCGAAAAAATACAACCCAAAATTAGCACGACTTGAAATGATACGGCATAATTTGGCTTCTTGTAAAAGTACCTTCACAAGAGTTGTTTCAAGCAACTTTTGAATGAGATTCAACTGTTTGGTTTCATAATTTTTTTGGATGAACTCAATTGATAGATTTAAAACAAAGAAACTAAAATAAAAAAGATTAACAAAGAATATGATACTTTTATTAATCTGGATTGAAACTCCGGTAAGAAGAGACTAATGAATCAGCCAACACTAAATCCTATTATAAACTATTCTAAGTATTACAACTAAAATGTCTAAGTTGTGAATCTTCGATGGGTTTGATCTTGTAATTTTTTTTTGTAATTGATACTACTTTGATAGACATCCGTTGTCGACAATTGTACTAATTCGTTAACATTTTACTTCATTTAATCATCTTATTTCAAATTATTAAGTTCACTTGATCTATATCCACCTCATTAGTTAACTAACACACACTCCGTCTATATTCACTAATTAACAATTAAATTCATTAATTTTATTTCAACCTACTATATAAGTAATGATCAAAATTTAGTTAGTATTGAATTTTTTGGAGGATGATGCTATGGTTAGTGAGCTTATTGATCCAGTTACACATTGCTGGAAAATCCGTGTGATTGATATTGTCTTCTTGGAGCATGAAGTAGAGGTTATTAAAATGATCCCTTTGGTTGTGTTGCCTATGGAAGATAAGTTAATTTGGCATTATAATGCTAACGACAGATTTTCAGTCCAGAGTGCGTACCATTTAGCATATGAGTAGAATTTATTCCATTCGAGTTGTACAAGTGCTAGTTCGTCATCAAATTCTGGGGGTAATTGGGGTGCTTTATGGAATCAAAATGTTCCCAGTAAAGTAAAGATTTTTGCATGGAGGATGATCTTAAATGTTCTTCCTAGTAATGAAAATTTGTGGCGTAGAAAAATTAGACCAAATGGGGTATGTTGTGTATATGGGGAGGGTTTTGAAACTATGATACATATTATTAAAGAATGCCCCTGGGCGAGACAGGTGTGGAATGTGAGTCCTCTTTATCATTCAGTACATTGAGTTGCTGGGAACTTTGTTGATTGGTTTTGATAAATTATTTTGAAGCTTAAGCCGAAGCTTGGTGCAACTTTCTTGGTGTTGTGTTGGTATATTTGGCGTAATAGGAATGAGGTTTTATTCTAGCAGAGGTGAAATGACCCTGTGGTGTATTGTCATATGGCAATGGAGTTTATTTCACAGTATGAGCAAGCCTTGGATTCTGGTCAGGGTGTTATCCAGGAAAGTGCACCAGAACATTGGGTTCCTCCTAGATTTAGATCCTTTAAGGTTAACTTCGATGGGGCAATGTTTGACATAGAGGGTGCTATTGGGGTAGGGGTGGTTATTCGAGATGAAGCTGAGTCGTTCATTGTAGGGATGTCTAAGAAGTTAATTGGTTGGGGAAAAACGCAAATTACAGAGACTGTGGCTGCAAGAGAAGCTGTGCTTTTTGCTAGGCAAATTAGGTGTGATAAGATTGTGCTGGAAGGGGATTCTTCAGGAATCATGAAGGGGATTGACGATAATTCTGAAGATTTTTCTCCGATTGGCACTGTTATTGCAAATGTGCAGCAGTCTCTTCGTTTGTTTATTTTTTATTCTTTGTTCATTGTTAGACGATCAGGAAATCTTGTGACTCACCAACTGGCTCAAAAGGCCAGACTAGGTGAAAATATTGATGTTTGGGAAGAGATGACACCAGATTTTTTGATACCATCTCTTCTCTCATATTTAGCTTTTTAATAAAATTTCTATCGCTTTTATTCAAAAAAAAAAAAAACAATTTGAAACTATAGCAATATTTTAGGAGATTTTTTTCCCTGTAGAAAAAGCATTTTAAGATCACATCTATCTTTAAAACACATACTAGTTGTCCAATAAAATTTTGTCAAAATTAAGAAGACTGCTTAAATTTGGAAGGTTCAAATCTTGCCAATGTTATATCTTTTAGGTAACTGGTTTATTTTAGGAATTTTTGATTTTCAAGTCTCATTACCATGTGATTTTCAGGTTTCATTGTCTATTTTTGAGCAAGATATAATTGATATAATTAACAAGATTAATGAGATTTGATATTTAATTTGAAATAAATTTAATTAAATTTAGAAAATTAGTTGGACTTAAAAATAAATTATGATTAGTTAATGGAGTTTATTAAATTTAACAACTTCAAATATTTAACTTGAATTGAGAATCAATTGTGCTTAATTAATTAAATTGTGTCCCATATTAGTGAATTACGTATTGAAATATAACCAATTTTATTATCAAGATAGTGAAATTGGGTTTATTTCATTGTTCTGAACAGTAAAATATGTCCGATTTGTCCAGTGAAATACTTGGACTTTAGTTGTTAATACCTCAAGGTATCAAGTTCGAATATTGCAATGGGGGAACCTTCATGAGGATGAGAGAGAGAGAGAGAGAGGGGGGGGGGATGTTCATCTACACAAAAAGAAAAAGGATAAAAGTTAGAGAGAGATGGGTATCGCCGTGTGAATTTAATTAGGGACTTATTTAGAGACCTAATCTATTGAATTAGTTGTGAGTTCTAATGTTAGAGCATCTCGGACAAGGTTTTATATTTTAGCTATTCAAAAGTACACTTTTTTTATTTTAACTACTCACTTTTTTAATACACACTCCAACATATTTTCTATAGTTTAACTACTTTTTAAATGCTATTTCACATATTTTGTACCTCTGTTGAGACTAGTGGAGGGAGAAGAAGAGAGATAGAGAGGAAAAGACAGAGAGTGAACAAAAAAGGTGAAAAAAGACAGGAGGAGAGAGAAAAAATTATAACGTATTTATACAAGTTGTTACAGTGATGTTCTATATTTAGAGTATCACTGTAGCAAAAAACTATTTTAGAGCATATAAACATATTACATGTTGGAGTATGATTTTTTTCTTTGGTTAGTTAAATTTTAACTATTTTTGAGTTTTACATCTCCGGTTGGTGATGTTCTAGATGGAGTTCACTTTCAATTCAGTAAATGTATTGAATTAGATCCCAAGATTAGTTCCAAACAACATTTTATGTTTTACTAATACCCACTAAGCAAAACGATAAAGCTTTAAGCTATGTATACAAGAAAAATATACAAGAATAACGTCACCACACACAAAGTGGACAAAAAAATAGGCAAGGCATTGAAGAAAAGAATACAATGAGATCAGCCAAGAAAATTTTGAGAGGACCCTCCATTGCATAGACCATTCTAAGATGCTATTCAAAGGTAAATTTATGTAAGGTCGGTCATATGATTGATGTGGGCTCGCCGAAGTTTCCAAGCACCTTCATGGAAAGGTTTCCACTAGTTAAGGTTTCCAAGCACCGAGTTATCCCAAATTTTTGACCAAGAGCCAGAGTTACTCTTAAAATTTCTCCTCACAAAAACCAAACAAAGTGGCTTGGCTAAATTTGTATGCTATTTATACAATAAAACAAATAAAAAGTTAAATTTTATTCCCTATACATTTTTCCTCTCAAAATTATCACATCACTAATTTTTATCACATATTCAATTATTTAATATTTGATTAATTTGTATTTTAACATAATTTTTATTTCAGACATTATCTATACGTAATAGTATACATATGTTGAGAAAATTTTGTCAATATTTAAAGAAAATAATGAATAAAATAAATTTTGAATGATGTAATCAAATAAATGAAGGAAAAAAAATTATTATTTAATATAATAAGATTAATTTTTTAGAGACTCAAATTTTA